CTGTGAAAAAAAAAAAAAAAGGGTAACATAACCTTATTGCTTATTCTGTGATGATTTTCACGTACTTGGTTCCAATGTTCTGGCTTCATATTAACGTGTGTACTTGATGTATAACGCGACATTATATTCCATCAGAATTCAAATATCCGCTACACTTTGTTAGAAATGTCTGAAAACTAAAATAATAGGTGGAAAACCAGCTTAATGGCGGTTAGTCTCGCTTTCCTAGAAAATGCAGAGGACTTACAAATTAAAGGCATTTAACCCTTTCAGGACTACAAAGAGGATTTTAAGTGAATATTATACAACCTTATAGAATCTAGAGCTAGGACTATCTAATTTATTCAAAAATCAGATGGAAGTTGAAGACTTGAAGTGGCAATTGAATAAAAGCTAAATCTCTATTAATGCATAACGCATACAAATGTATAATTAGTACAAACTTTATCTTATTTCTTAGAGCATTACCAGCTCGATCAGGTCGAGAAGGAGCTCTAAATAATTACTACTTGCTTAGGCTTCATGTATAGGAACTAATGGCATTTTGCCTCCATAAATCTCAGGTAGCTGACTTTCATCAATGTCTTGGCGTAGAGTTGCCATTAGTCGTCTGTTTTCCACAAATGTGATCTGAGAAGAAAGATAGAAATTAATTTAATTTGGCGAAGATAATCTAACACAATTTTTAACCATTAACTTAAAGAGGCAATCCTCAGCTACCACGGCAAATTCACTAGACTCCAGCATTGTTTCATCAACCATTGTAGAACCTCACCTTCTTTTTGGTCTTGTTATCAATAAAAGGATACACAATTTTCCACATTGTCCAGAATAGGTAAGGAACATGAACTACAATTAGTTTTTCAAGTCTTTCAGGGTAGCAGTCCTGCAATTAATAGTATAGTAAACTTCAAGATTATGGACTACAAGGAGAAAAAATGAAAAGGATTTCACTTATATATACTGGCAGTAAAACGCTTTTATACTACCACTATATTTTTAACATGTTTTAGCTTTTACTAGGTATATTACCTTGTTTTTCAGGTTACTGATTCTTCTTACTATGGACGGTTATAGTGATCTGATAGTATATTTGTTCATGTACAGAAGGTAAACTCAACGATAATAATGATTAATTAGACCTGTAAAATGGATAGAGCCCCAATGTATGCACGAGCATCGCTGTTGGAATAACCAAAACCTTGGAAATCTGCAATTACCACAAACTTTTCCCTACCTGGCGAGGTCCTGATTCATCAAAAAAATCCCAAAATAAAATAATAAAAATATCAAGGTTGCATGATCTCGACAGACTTGGAAGCTTCTCTGAAAAGGTAAATTTAGCCAACTGAGTATAGAATACAAGATAGTGTACCTTGAACAGAGTTTGTCCAAAGCCAAGACCACAAATCCTGCAAATCAGAACAACGTCTTAACTATAAATTAAGTAGCAGGCCAAGTAGAATGGAATTAAACAAGAGAAAGAAAACAAAAATCATACGTTTTAACTCGTCAGGACCACCTAATTTATTATGAAAATGTCTGGCACCTAAAATGACAGCAATAGGGCGTCCTTGTTTGTCCCTTCCTTGCATGAACATTTTGTTGTGTGCTATCTCGTTTGGAATCTCACTCGCTGAAATGAAGCCATTTGGTGCAATGCTTTTCTTCCTTTTAAGGCATTTCAAGAACATTGCCGAAGCTTTGTCTACGTCCAGATCCCTAGCTCGAAGAAACCTTCTTATCTCAAAATCATCTACTTCCTGCAAACAATTGACGCCAAGCAAAAAAAAAAAAGATATAAGAATATGGATTTTGAGCCTAACTCAACTCCAAAAAAACTAGCTCATGAAGTGAGCATGTCTCAAAACCATATAACGATGCAACAGTCAATTCTGTTAATCGACACATGATGCTTAACATCTCTCCTACGGCCAGAGCTGGACATTTGGGGTATGAATATAGGGACTCAACATTGGATAAACCAAGAATATAGATGGGTCTAACTCTGATACATGATTTTGAATAGTATTAGTGGAAAATAAACTTACCGTGTGGATCAATATATAATATGTTGACAGGTGGCATAGAAGTCAAAGCAACAAAGAAGAATGAAGAACATCGAACTTATATATAAGTAATAGCCACGAGATTGTCTACAAGGATAGTGTGCCTATTAGCTGGAAAAGAGGAAACATGTAGGGAGTGGTTAATTAAAGATACTAGAAGCCACGAAAATGGAAAGATCATTAATAGCCACGAATATGGAAAGAAATCGGTATAATCCCAAATTATGCGCGATTAGTTGTTATTACCTTAAATGTTACAAATCACCCATATATCGGGTAATCTAAGTAATAAATGTTAGTAACATGCAGAAATTAAATAGGGTGAGCGGTTACAAATTATGCCTTATATAAATCCCCCTGCCATAACGTGTATCCCCATCGAGAAAGTCACAAAGTAATACTATCTATGGATTCCAACTATTCTTTTTTGATTTTTGCTTTCATCGAATATGATCTACTACTCTTATTTATTACTCGACCATTAACTTCTTCTTTAAAAACTACTTCCATAACTACGAAAGGAAAAATTCAATATCTCGTATCTACGGAATATGAGAAATTGAGAATCTTAATTATCAATATTTTTATTATTCTTTGCCATTGATCTTGTTCTTTTCTATTGGAAGGAAGTTGCGATTATCAATAAGATTTCTATTTTCTTATTTTCCCAGTCTTGCTTACCATTTTTTATACCATTTTATATTTAAAAAAGTGAAGTAAATTTATTAAAAACCTAAATTATTCTTTTATTTGCTTTGACCACAAAAACTATTTTTTGATTAAATAAGAATAATGAAGACATTTGACCAAATTCAACTGCAAAAGTTAATTCTTGAGGTGTGTATTTCATCTCATTCCTTTTAATTAACCAGAAGTTGTACACCTAAAAACCTCTCTCTTGCACTCGATCATTTTAATATAGAAAAATCTTTAATCTTGATGTTTTACATGTAAACGGAAGGAAGGAAACTAATAAAGAGTTACTCCCTGCATTTCACTTTGCTTGATATTATTTCTTTATTAGTTTGTTTAAAAAATAATATATTTTTATACTTTCTTAATAATAGTCTATTTGGCCAAGCACTAAAAATCGGTTTGGTCTGATTCTCAAAAGTATCTTGCAGAAATGCAGGGTAAGGTGTACAATAGACCCTTGTGGTCCGGTCCTTTCCCGGACCTCAGACATAGCGGGAGCTTAGTCCATCGGACTACTCTTATTTATTGTGAGAAGCAGTTTGTGTTTGACTAATTAATTTGAAAAGCACTTCTCAGTAGCAATTAGTGTTTGGTCAAGCTTTTAAGAATTGTTTCTAAGCGTATTTTTATCAAAAGTGTATTTCAAAAAAGTGCTCCTGGGGAGAAGCTAATTTTCTTTGTGGCTAATTAAAATATATATTTTTTTTTTTGAAAAAAAAATTGTTTTTGGCTTTGGAGAAGCGGGACAAACATGTTATTTGGCATTTGCAATCTACAAATCTTATGTATTCAAAAATATTATAACAACACAAATATTATAACATATCTGAGACCATAAATTTTATAACTTTATATCTTTTAAACTCCGTATCAAGTCAAACTATACCAAACAGATTGAAACAAAAGCTAGAGTAAAATACAATTACCTTGGAAGAAGGATCTTGCTTTTCGACAAGAGCTCTCATAAGGCAAATCTTGTTCTGCTCTTCTTCACTGATTTTGTCATCGCATCCTACTTTGATCTCCTGTGTTACTGATTCTCCTTCCTGCTCCAGTTTTGTTTCAAAATGAAGTCCATTATCGTTTAGCTCCTTGGCTATTGCCTCAACCTTTCCCTCCATCAATTTCTTTCTTGCACCAATTACTAGCAGGAGAAATACACAAGGCACAGAAGAAGGTCCCAATTTTCAAGATAACATAATGTTCTGCTTCAATTTATGGCTAACTCGCAGGAGGAAATTGAAAAGAGGAATATAGGGAAGCTATAAAATTAGGACTTTGTCTTAATGAGCAAATACAATGGGACCGCAGTGGATGTAGTTCACTAATGAATTTATAGGGACCAAATACTATTAAAATCGTAGATGATGAGTATTTATATACTTGTATTCTAGCCGGTGGTAAATGATAGGATCTCTCTATCATTTCTGATACGATACGGAGTACGAATCCGAATTAATCAGTTCCGGATACCATATGATGATAAAAAAAATCATGCTAGATAAAGTTAGAACTGGAATTTAAAAGCGTCGAGTGCACCTTTTAATATACATATAAATATTTGTCAAATTTTTTTTGTGTGGATACGTGTTTGTTTTAGTGGGTAACTCATCCGATATAAATTGAAATTGAGGGTATATATTTTCTTGGAAGAAAGAAGTTGCTTTTCAACACGAGCTCTCATTCACATGTTATATGTAGATCAGATCTGCCGCTAATATTAATGCAATTGGAAACCATATAGTATAAGTATATTCTGGAAAGATATACTGTACGATTATAGCGGTTGGCATCTATTTACCTAACTCATAGTAGCTTTAACTACGGGTGTCTTTAATACGAAGGAAAATATTTTCCGCGCATGGAAAATGAGTTGTTTTATCATTTACTTTTTCTTATGTGGTTGGTGAATGGAAAACTTTTTCCGAAAAATATTTTCTAGCATTTGGTTAGAGAGTAGAAAATATCTTTTTAGGAAAATATTATTTTATGCTACTCTCCTCATTCTCTTCTTTCAAGTCCCTATATTTCCTTGCTTCCCCTCTCCCCTCTTCGAATACTCAACGTTATCATAATTCTATTTTCTTCAATAATTTAATTATTCTTCTAAAAATTCACACAAACCTAAAGGAACAAATGTGCAGCTTTACTTTTTATACAAAACTACGTTTAAATTTATGCTCCATAACAATAAAGGAAATACTCTTTTTTTTGGTTGAAAAAGAAAATACCCTTTCTACAACATGAAAATAACGTAATCATCTTATTGAAAGAAAAAAATACTTTTTATATCATGAAAAGAAAATACTCATTTGTTGAAATGAAAAANAGGGTGGGGAAGGTTGAAAAAGTGTTTTGGAAAATATTTTTCCTTCTCTTGACAGGGAAAATATATTCCTTTAATTGAAGGAAAATAAGTTGTTGAGAAAAATATTTTCCAAAATATTTAAACCAACCAAATATAAGAAAATTGGATAACATTTTCTCAAAAATATTTTCCTCTGTACCACACACACCCTAAGAGTCTAAGACAACTTCGTTGAACCCCTTTTTGCATTCAACGTTCATGTTCTATGGTGTTGTATCTAAGGCCTACGAGGGTAAATATGAATTTGGTTGCATTTGGATGTATATATTCAAAAGAGTAATCATGAGAAATTTGATTTGTTTTCTATAGATCTAATGTAGATCTGTCACGACCCAATTTTCTCTTCGTTGGGTTTCGTGACGGCACCTAGTCTTAAGGACTAGGTAAGCCTAACATTTACGGAAAAACAACAATAGTAAACAATATCTTAAAATTCTTCTGAAATGAATCCTTTATCAAATGAATATATTCCTAAAATCCGGTAGTACAAGTCATAAACTCTACAGAGTTAACTACCACTTCTGAATATAACTGTTCGGAAAAGAATGAAAACAATTGAATACAAGTAAGAAGGTGACTCCGAAGCCTGCGAACGCAGCATCAGGTTTACCTTGAGTCTCCTCGGCAATGATCCGCACAACTACTAACGATCGATACCTGGATCGGCACAATAAAAATGTGTAGAAGAGTAGCATGAGCACACCACAGCGGTGCCCAGTAAGTATCAAGACTAACCTCGGTGGAGTAGTGACGAGGAACAGTCAAGACACCTACTGGTCTAATAAACTAAACAAGTATAAGTGTAGAACAACATAGCATAGTATCTATATAAGGACTATGCGATATGACTAACAACACAGTAATTGCATTAAGGAAAGAAAACAGCAAGTAACAGCGGAACACTTAATAAGAACACAGAAAAGTAAATGGAAATACAACCCAACTCTGAAATCACAAATTACAGCAAAGACAGGTTACAACTCAATAACTACAACAACTTTTACATTTGGTCTTAGCTGGCAAACTTCAATCAATTCGCCAAATCCTCCAAGTGATAAAAATACTTCGAAATATACTTCGTTCCGATAAATATTTTTCCAAAATAGTTCTTTCAAAATAAATACCTTTCGAATATAATTTTCTCAAATAAATATCCTTTGAATATAAGTCATCATGTGACGCCTGATCTCACAATCATATAATACGAGTCTCAATACCCGAACCCTGACACTTGGCATTCTGTACCCTCATCATACCACATAGTCATACTGACAACTTACGTACCAAATAGAGTCATTCTCACATGGAAGACAAATAAATAATGGTGTGCGTCTATACTCGACATTACCAAGAAGCCTCATATCCGATTAGGGTGCTTAGCCACGTGTATGCTTGTGCAAGTGTCCTACCATAGTTCATACCAGCTAGTAAGTGTAAGGAATAGAACGGAAAACACATATATTGTTTACGCAAGGATAGGATCAATGAAAACAATAGCTCAAAACACAGAGATAGCAACAAGGGGATCTACCGGGATATCGTCCCGTAGTCCCAAATATAAATGTGCAGGAGGATCTACCGGAATACCAATCCGTAGTCCCAAAGTAAATATCCAGTATATGGGGATCTACCAGGTGTCGTCACGTAGTCTCAAATATAAATGTGCAGGGGGATCTACCGGAATACCAATCCGTAGTCCCAAAGTAAATATCCAATATAGGGGGATCTATCGGGTGTCGTCTCGTAGTCCCAAATATAAATATGCAGGGAGATCTACCGGAATACCAATCCGTAGTCCCAAAGTAAATATCTAATACAGGGGGATCTACTGGGTGTCGTCCCGTATTCCCAAATATAAACATGCAGGAGGAGCTACCGGAATACCAATCCGTAGTCCCAAAGTAAATACACAGCGCAACCAACAGAGACAACAATTACAACACAATAGAAGGCTCGTACATCACCACAATACATATAACAACAACAATGACAATAATACAAGTCAAGATAAGTAAATCAACTCAAGGACCGTAAATCACAAGGAAACGGTAGAACCAGCTCACAAAGAGTAACCACAGAAAAGAATGTTGATATAAAGGGGAAAGTTCAACAACGGGAAAACTAACATGTAGCAACGATCCCACAATACACAAGTCAATAACGAGAAAATCAACACGAGTCAAGTAGTCCCTAATAAGGGCAAGTCTACAAAGATATAAGTTATCTAAACTCCTTTTAAGGTTGGACAATTTCGAAGATATTCGATAATTCAATTTAAGGAAAGATGATCTTAGCTTCACTTAAGACTAAACAATTTCAGGAGGGATAATAATAATTCTCAAATAAGACAAGCAACAATGAAAAGATAGCATGACAATAAGAGAGGCGAAATTCTTCAATTAAATCAAATAGGAGTCAATTAGGCAATAAGAGTAAATCATGAAGCAATTAATTCCAATTAAGCATGTAGATGTGAAAATAGTAAATAGGAAACTCAGTCATGTCAAGAACACGTTCATACACAGTAAATAAAAAGACCTAAGAACCCTAAAAGGCCAAATTTCCACAATTAAGTCTGAGCACGCACTTGTCACCTCGCGTACACGAACGACAATCAACATAGAAGACTCAAATCCTAAAGGGAAGCCCCTCACACAAGGTTAGGCAGGATACTTACATCAAAGACGACACACCGATACTGTAAAATGCACTTCTCGGGCGAAAAGGTCTCTGGAAGGCTCAAATCTAACCCAATTAACTTCAAAGCACAAATAAAACACATAAGAAACTATTCTGGATCCTAAAGATTTAATCTTTAACCAAATTTAACAATTGGTCCAAAAGTCAAACCCCAGGCCCGCACCTCGGAACCCGACAACTTTTATAAAATCCGAATACTCATTCCAATATGAGTTCAACCATACAAAAATTATCAAATTCCGATACCATTTCGTCCCTCAAATCATGAAAGTTCGTTTTAAAAATTTTCTTCAAAAACCAACATTTTTCCCTAACTAAAAACGCAGGTTAAATGATAAAAACAAAGACTAATTCATGTAATATATTTAAGTCTCAGTGAAGAAAACTTACACATTCAATTTACCTGAAGAACCCACCAAGAATCGCTCAAAATCGAGATCTACAAGTCAAAATATGATAAAAATGGTTAAACCCTCGATTTTGGAATATATTCTGTCTGCCCAGACATTTGTGCATCGCGAAACGCGAAGAGAGGACCGCGTTCACGAAGAAGAAAAGTTAAGGCTGCCCAGGTTGCTCATCGCGAAAGCGATGATGAGCTCGCGAACGCTGAGAAGAGGGGCAGGAACCTACGCAAACGCATAGGGAAGGACACGAACGCGAAGAAGGAAAATGCAGGGCTACGCGAACGCGAAGAAGGATTTCGAGGTGGTTAGCAACAAGGCATCGCGAATGCGAAAGGCTGTTCGCGATCGCGAAAGAGGATACCAGAAGCAGAAAATAGCAGTTCCAAAAATGAGAAAAATGACTTGTGGCCCACCCTGAACACACCCGAGGCTCCTAGGACCCCGTCTAAACGCATAAACAAGTCACATAACCTAACACGGACTCGCTCGAGCTTACGAATCACATTAAACAACGTCGAAAGAACAAATCAAACCATAAATCGAATTTATGAACTTTCAAATCTTCAAATTTCTAAACTCGTGCCGAGACCTATTAAATCAATCCGGAATGATGCCAAATTTTGCAGACAAGTCCAAAATGACATAACGGAGCTGTTCTAACTCTCAGAATTGCATTCCGACCCTGATATCGCAAAAGTCAACTATGGGTCAAACTTCTATATTTTCCAACTTTCGCTGAAATGCCTCAATTTACCCTACGAACCTCCAAATCTGAATCCGGATGCACGCTTAAGTCCAAAATCACCATATGAAGCTGTTGGAATCATCAAAAATTCATTCTGGGGACGTTTACTCCAAAGTCCAATTCCGGTCAAATTTTCACTGCTTAAACTCTCAAAACTAGATTCCTTCTTCTAATTTGACTCTGAATCACTCGTTAACTAAATTCCACCATGCACACAAGTCGATACTCATATTATGAAGCTGTTCCAGACCTTACGCTGCTAAACGGAGCTTAAATTCTCAAAACGACCGGCCGGGTCGTTACAAAATCACAACCAAGGCGCACCCTCCCTAAAAGGAGGA